ATGGAACGATCGATGTTTCGACCGAGCGCGACGGCGACATCCGTGACGATCGCCCGACGAAGGCTGCGGAACGGCGAACTCGGGGCGACGACGCAGATGCGAAGAGGAGACGACGGGAGACATCCACGTCGGAGGCAAAAGTAGATCGGTCCGTGGAATCCTCGTCGCGCGGCCTCTTCTCGTTATCGCGGGGAGGTGGAAGAGAAAAATCGGAACCGGTCTCGGGGAGAAACGCCTCCTCGTCGGTCGGAACCGCTCCGGAGGCCGAGGAGGATTTCCACCGATTTCCACCCTCTTTCGTCCGTTTCTTCACCGCCTCGGGACGCGTCTGCCGCTTCCGACGTCACTCTTCGTGACGACGACCTCCGCGGCGCGACCGAGGGGTGCTGCGATGGAACTCGTCTCCTTCGACATGCCGACGCCGAATACCAACCGGTAACTGTCGCGGCGGCTCGCGGTAGGAGATCGACGGGTGCGTTCGGGCGACGGCGAGCGCTCCAAAATCGGAGTCTCGTACCGGGCGGCCGAAACGGAGGCCTCGGGATTCACCGTCTCCGACGGATCCGGTCGGTATTCGATCCGGACGAAACGGAGTCGGATACGACGTCTGTCGCCGCGCCCGAATGCGCCCGAGCCGTCTCTCTCGTCCGTTCTCTTCGCGTGGTGCCCTCTGCGGTCGGACCGTTGAGTCCTCGTCTCCCGTCGCGGCTCCGGTATCCGAGGGAAACCGATCGTCGGGACGCGACGAACCGGTTCGTGACGCGCGTCCCCCTCCCTTTCCCGAACTCGACTTTTCTTTCCCCGTTCCGGTCTTCGTTCGTGCGCGCGTACACCTCACGCGAGTCCGAGGACGAAAGGTGGAAACGTCGGCATGCATCCCCGCGATACCCGTGGCGAAGACGACGACCGCCGCCGTCGCGATCGGATCGGGCGACGTCTCGCCTCGTCTTCCCCGAGACGCGCCACGGCCCCGAGGCCGATACGAAGGCGCGGGAATCCTTCCACCCGTGCTTCCGATCCGCACGTCCGTTTTCACCCTCGTCCAGATGCAAAACTATTTTCGGTCGATGAGTTCGCGGAGCGCTCGTTGCGGACGCGTTCCTGGCGCGGTGGGACGACCGGGGGATCGGCGGCCCATCGTGCACGGAAGGACGGCGGATCGACTTCGCGATGCGATTTCTCGCACGGATCGTCGCTTCCGTCGCTTCCGTCGCTTCGGTCTCGTGATTCGTCGCGATGCCCTCGATCCACGGTTCGTTTCGACCTTCGTTCTCCCTCGCCGTCTGCACGAATGCATGCAGATGTGTATGCATCCGATCGCCTCGATTAAATCGACGAACTTTACGGTTCCACGGGAGTCGTGCGGCGAATATCGATGGAGTCGTGAATATTTGAGCGAGACAGAAAGGGATGGGGGTCACCGTGGTCATCGGGGTCCACCGGGGTCCACTGTCGTCACGGGTCACCAGGTAGCTTCCTTCCGCCGAGCGAGCGAACGCAAAATTTCCAGGAATTCCATCGCGTCTCCCCTGGAATTTCACACTAAACGATCCGTCGACCATCGATCGAAAGAGAATCCGATCACCGCGAAAGAAAAGGGGGACTAGATGCATTTTCGCGTCGATCGCGAGAGGCGGCATGCGAAGGGGGGGGGGGGGGGGGGGNCCATCCAGTGCATTCGGCACCGTCGAAATGCAAGTTCGATCGAGAGCAGGTGGGAGAGCGAGCCTACTGCTTCAGGGCTCTATCCCGTTCTTGACTAATGTTCGAGATAAAAGTAGATTTATTAATTACTCTTTAACAATTATTTATTTCGGAGGGCACAATTTACATGAACGAGCAGCATCCGGAATGCAAAATCTGACCTCAACCATATGATATATTGGGGCCCAAGCGCGAGACGAAAAAACCATTTTGACCGATCCGCCCTCGCCTCGTGCCACTAATTGCTGGTTGCCTCTCCGTTTCGACACCGGGTGCCAGCCCTCTCGCAGGGGGAGAGACCGAGACCCCCCCCCCCCCCCCCCCCCCCCCCCCCCCAACAATTCCTTCTTCCCTCCCTCCCTCCCTCCGCCCTAACACGCTTCAGACAGATTAGGGTTTCTCCTGATCCATCAACTGCCGATGACACGGTCTCGAGGCCGAAGCCCGATCGGATCAGCTCCCTGCCGTCTAATTTCTCTATTAGCAGGTCCAGGTCCTTAAGTCTCGAGTAGATTCCTCATGCTTTTATACACGACAAACCTTGTAAGATTGCGCACATTTTTGCAAAGATTGCACACGAGCGACATCCAGCGAGACTGAGTGAAGGTCTCGAATGTACCTATTCGGACCCGTTCAGCAGTAAGCAGAACCCACAGAAATTCCGTAGAAAATCTGCTGCAAGAACTTGTGGAGCTCCAACGAGCTTGAGAAATCCCCGAAAGGACAACGTTACCGTGCATTCAAGTTCACACCGCAGAAAGAAAATTGGAACACAGAGATGACCAGGTTTGCCTCGACTTTGTCAACTCCGTCCTGGTTGAACTTGAAAATAGCTCCAATTGTATGCACCATTTCTTCCAGACAAATCAATCTTTCGAATGAAGTTCCCTCAACCACCAAAATTCTCTCAACTGAACCAACCAAAACCACCATGAATTCGAGGAAGGTCCCCGCTCTCACACTTTTTACTTAGACATGAATTCAGGCCCACCGCATCGGAGGTCGTTCCACCACGACACGCTGAGATAAAGATCGCTCAACTGATTGACAGGAGGCCCGAGCACAGTCATTCCACTGATCACGCTGCTGTCATTTCGAGTCGAGTGCCACGCCAAGCGTCAGTGCGAATCTCTGTCACTTTCGGCGACTGCTGTCATAGTTGCTCGTGCATGGTGTCAATGTCATTGTCAAGTCGCCTAACTGCTCACACAGAAGGGAAACAAGTCAAGAGCGGGGGGGAGACGAAAAACTCGATTCAGGAGCGTCTATAAAGTTTCTTTCACGCACCTTCAAAACGAAAAACTCAAGGATCTACTGAGGAAAATCTATTAATCTTTTGTGTGGCCTATTACCATGTGATAAATAGCCTAACTGAAAATTATGCAAATGGTGTTAAGTAATGCGATTTTTCTGAGGTAATTATGATTCAATATACCACGCACGACGAACCACACTTACGAACAGCCTCTACAGAAACATACTCTAGACGAAGAATGATAAAAAAGGAAATTCAGAATTTCGAAGAATACAAACCAAGAAGTGTTCCCGTAAATAACGTTCGTCGAATGAGGTGAAACTTCCATAGAAATTCGCAATTAGATAGCTGGTCATGAGGAAACCGAATTCCATCTGTGTTCTCAGATGGCATCAAACTATGAAGAAAAGCAGTGCGGAAATCCTGAAACAGAAGGTAAGAAGAAAAATAGTACCTTGAATCATGAGGTGAACCAGAAACATGCAAATGAGAGGGCGTTCCCCACCCCGTCCCTAACATCGTCCTTGCCTCCAGAACGAGCGACCGGACGGAATGCACAACCCGATTTCTCCTGGAAGACGAATGCCCTCACACTCCCCCAAGGTCTTTCGTATCTCCCATTAACGGCCTTTCAGCCCCGGGACAGGAACGGATATCCAGACCCAAACGTGATCCGATTCGCTAATCCACACATAAGTCAACTGGTGACGCAAAGAATGAGATTGCCTCGTATATTCATGGCTTTATCCGACCGTCTACCCGAGGAGAATGCAGTGCTCGGCTTGTCAACAGTTGGTCGAAAATTTATTCTCACTTTCGATTTCATTCTTTTTCGCATTGTCCATTGTTAATTTCTCGGAGGTATAAAATTTGCATTATTTTCATCTGTGGAAGGTCCCTAATATACAGTCTTTCATTTTTCATTTTAATTCTTCGTTCCTTATCTATCCAATCATAACTTAAAGCGTCCTAGAGCGATTTCATCATTTTAGATAAGGGGCGAACAATTTGGCAGCGTATTGATTTTCGATTCTTATCTCAACATCATTATTAGTCGATTGCTATATGCAACAGTGATAAACAACGGAGTCAAAGGAGACGAAGGCACATAATGAAAGGAGGAAAGGGGCGTGGCAGAAGCATGGATATTCAAGGCCACGAATAGAAGATTGCAAAACCCAGAGAGTTTGACAAAGAGAGGCACACCTAAACGACTCATTATGCATTCCTCGTGACCTCCTACCGGGCAGGGGATCCCAGAAATAACAATTATTTACGCGGTAGTACGCAGGCTCGCGTAGAATTCTGACAATACGACGCTCGGCTTCATGAATTTACGGTCTCAATTGCAAAACCTCTCGGTGCGGTCATTATGTAAACAGGGTCTCCCCGATCGTGACCGGGCGTTACAAGAGCCGATCGATTCTATTACGTCACGGTGAATATCCCTCATGCCACTGCCATGTAATAATGAAGCGGCTCTCGGGATGGATGACGCCGTGATATTTATGAAGACTCTGGTCGTGACCACCTTTTTATCTCCATCGCTCGATCTGGACTATTGCCTCTATTGCCACCACATGCATACCGTACGTGATGGATCAGCCTTCAAGACCTGAAATGAGCCAACTCTGTCCAAACGTCAAAGGGGGACTCGTTTGTTATACGGGAGTGCTTTCTAATACGTCGATGACAAGAAATTATGTTTCTGACGATCCGTAGCAGAATTCGGTTCAAATAAATTTCATTTCATTTTCCCCGCAAAAATGTCCAAATAAAAACTAAAAATCAGGAAATGAAAGCTGAAGATACAATTTAAAACTGCAATTATTTAAGTATACCACATTGCAATTTCCTCTTATTTACTTTGCTGGGATCCTAGAGGAAACACGAGTTTGAAAGAATGACTGAAGGGCTAACTAAAAGCGTAGATTTGAATCACCAGAATGTATATATAATAGCCTGGATATGAAAATGCGAAGAAAGGACGAAACCCAACGTATCGACCGTGGCATGAAGACCTTCATGGCTTCATGGACGCATGAAGGTCTCAAAAAACTCTTCTTTTGCGGCCCTGAAATATCCGATATTTCAAATAGTTGAATAGCACTACTAGGAAATGAAGATGGCAAATGAATGGTAGAACGAATCTTTGCGAGGGCAAGCTGGAAAGAAAGGAGTATTATGATTTCGAGGTTTAACACCAGGAATCGTGAGGCCCCCTCCATTCACGTCGAGTAGTTGGAATGCGGCTTGCTAGATGGTGCTGACCGCGTACGGGGGGATGGGTCCCGCGGTATAAATGCAGGGGTCAGCCGAGCGTGGACATTCAGTCCTTAGGTTTCTCTCCTTCGATCTCCTCTGTGCTCCAACCCCCTATCTCCCCCTCTGTCTCTGAAGGAATCACTCGAAACATGGCGCTTCTGCTTCTCGTGAGTTTCAACTTCTCTTCCATCGTTACGATGTTTCATAAATGTGAAAATTCCACGTCGCATATCTCACTTAATGGAATTATTAATCCACCGAGTAAACATTATCGTTTTAGTTTGCCATAGGTACGCCGTGAACGTCTTCTCACATCAAAATGGAAATGCATTAAACTATAATTCGTTTGCATGTTAATAATGACCACGAATAATTATTATGCTTCCCCTGGATTCAGCAGACAGACCTTATTCCCTGCCTCAATAACTTCCCTTTCCTTTCGTGACAGATGACTGCCGTCGTAGCCGTAGTGGCGGCCGACCGTCCCAGTTACTACCAGCCCTCTACCTACAGTTACCACCCAGAGCCCAGTTACCCCCAGCCTTCCTATGGCTACCATCCAGAGCCGAGCTACAGCCCCAAACCCAGCTATGGTTACAAGCCCCAGCCTCATGGATACGATGCGGTTCCCGCCTGCGCCAACAATGAGACCAACTACTGCCTTAAGGATAAGGAATACCCCGAGTAAGTTTTCCCCCTCCTCACATCGGAAAATCTCAGAAACGAAATTGAGGAGCTATTTGAAGAAGTAGTTTAATATAAATTCAAAGAGGTTTTTCTGTTCGAAAAACTCAAGTTAAATAAAAGGAAGTGCTGACAAATAAACATATTGAAGGGAGTTTCGTATTCCCTGGAGCTGTGCACAGTAAACTTCACAATTCTTTTATAGATCAATCTTGACGGTTTTTTTTGTCACGACCATTTTAACTTTTTACCTTTCGTTTTCCACACGGGTGATTCATTAATTGACGTCATTCCAGGTACGACATCAAGTATGCCATCTCCCAGCACAAGTACGGGTTCCTGGAACTGTACGCAGACGTTGCCGACTTGAGTACGGCCAACTCCGTGGACCGTCTCCAGAAGTTGGAGGAAGAGACCTACATCTGCCCCTCTGAGACAGTCTACGCCCGCCCCCTCCGCGCCAAGAACACGGACGGCAAATGGAGAATCATCGTGAACAACGTGAAGGTGGACTACGACGAATTCACGCAGAGCGTCCGCCTCGAGACCTGCACCTCGGCCGGCTCCCCCTGCCCCCTCATCCCCGACTGCTACTCCACCAAGTGCCTGCAGAAGTCCATCTACCACCGATTCCTCGTCTACGATCCCTATGACCATTACTTCCCCTTCGCCATCGAGAGCTTCCGCCTCCCTGCCTCCTGCGCCTGCCATGCCGACGAATTCGTCGTCAAGCACTAATCCCACACGTCTAGACCTTAAAGCCATAAGTAGTTAGAAGTCGAAATCGAATGCTGAAATTCTATGTTGCGTTCTAAACTGCTTTCTAAGCGTCTTTCTCTCATCTCGGTTATTTCCGGTAATGATTTTGTGGGATTCCACCGAGGCATACTGGTGCTCAATTCTATTGTCTTTCTATAAGTATTGGTCCATATCTTTTTGATCCGATCCCCCCTGTGATATTCTAGTCGAGCGAGCGAGCGAAGCGACGATGTCTGACGGATTCGGGTGATATTATTTTCTATATATTGTTCTTTCCATGACACAACACCATCTCAGGAGTCATCACTCGTGTGTATTGTCTATCATTATTTTTACGCTACGATCTTTCGATTTTATAATATATGTATCCATATATCTCAGCACCTCGCGCCACGTGATTCTGTCCTATCTTTCTGAATTTTTGTGTCCCAATTGGAAATGAAATAAAGACTATTTTTCTCAGCACATCCTCATAACATCTTCACTTCGTCATAAATCTATGAGAGGAATCGCCTAGAAGCCGGGGAACAATGAGAACATCATGGGCTCGTCGAAATTCTTGAAGAAGTTGCCAAAAAATGTGCACGTGATTTGGCCGACATATAGCAATACTAGAAGCTACAGACATCTGCCTCTCCTGATGAAAAACTTCTGTCTTTCACGAACGTCGATAGATGTCGCTCTGTAACGCAACTCTGTGGTTCAGCCAGACTGATGGGAGAATTGTATGCCGTTATTGCACTGTGTGTCGTTAGCATGTTGCACTCCATACTGCAGCTTGTTGTTATGAAAGGAAGACAGTGAAAGGAATGGGTCGTCCGATAATTACTTAAATCTGAAATTAAATGACGACAGGATTTGTTCTACTTTCCACTCTGCTTGTATCAATGATCGATGAATTTTTCCGACTGACGACGTCATTTGAGAGTTCAGAATCAAATTAGAGAGCGGAAAATGTAAAAAAAATGGACTTGACTTCCGTCTCTCAAAAATATTCTCTGCATGATGAGTCCCAGTGACATTATTGAGCTTCAACCTGTTATTACTGAACTGTCGAATGGATTGTAAGTGAATGAGTGAAAGTAAGAAAGATATTTCCAGCTGTCAGATACGGGGTATTTTCCTGCCAGGAAGCAGAGTAATAAAAAAAAATTGGAGGGGAAATGCTCCCAGTCCCACCCACTTTTGCCTCCTATTCCCTGCACTTGTGAAAATGAGTGAGTTCTCCCATTTCCCTCTCCGCCGAGTTGAACTCAATCCAAGCCCGATGCGATCTACTCGAATAGTTCCTACCCTTTTCTGGGCTGGGAGGAAACCTAACTACTCTGCAATCGAAGGGTTTTTACCGGATTACCTCCTCCCCGACTGTCCTCATTTTATGAGCCCTCGTGAGATGTGGTAGCCATCGCCCTATACAACGTAACTTTTTTTAGACTTGAACGAGTGCGAGGCTTCAGGATTCGCTGACAGACTGGGCTTTCTGTTTCACGGCTTTTTTGTTGTCTCACCGAGTGAGACCAGGAGAGTCCCAGTCTTCTAGCATCCTTTGCGAACTGGTGATGAAATTGGGTGTCTCTCTGCCGAACCGGGAGAATTGACAACCCCAATTGGAAAATCCAGTATAAACCCTTCAGATTGGGTTCCAAGTGAATTGTAAAAATAATCAGCTGGGCTCAGAGACAGTTAAATGAGCGTACAGTCAGCGGTGGGCTGTCGAGAGGATCTGACCACCCCCCCCCCCCCACCACACACACACACACACACACACACACACACCCACAAGGACAGCAGCGACACCTAAATTATCGGACGACCCATTCCTTTCACTGTCTTCCTTTCATAACAACAAGCTGCAGTATGGAGTGCAACATGCTAACGACACACACACACACACACACACACACCCACAAGGACAGCAGCGACACCTCCAGGGCATGCTCTCCAGTCCCTTTCGCAGGTGTGTTCCCGCCCTGTTCTCCACGAGACGGGGATTTATTGCTCCTGCCCTTCCCTCTTCGTTTACGCCTGACTCATTCCAGTGAAAAATCTTGGCTGCTTCTCTCAGGAACAACTCATACACATGGGTTCAATTTGAAACATCTTCTGCGGCTTTGTTATCAGGAAACAGTTTACGACTTCTTTATCTGATGTACAGTATATGTCTCATGGAACAAAGCAAGGTAAATAAAATAAAATTGTAATTAGAAAATCGAAGATTGAACAGACTGCATATTGGATATTTCCTGCATGAAAAGTTATCATTCATGAGACTTACCCCGGAAGGCAGTATAGCCGAAATCGCCAGATAATGTCTGAAATCTCTGTGCTGCACAATTCTGTGAAATTTTAATTGCGAAGTTGAATCAGTTTTGATTGCGAATTTGAAGTTGCCCTCAAAAGTCTTCTTCATTTCAAGAAAAAAAGGATTTTTCTACGCTGAGCGCAATTAAAAATGGAACATCCCTTTGAGCCCCTCTTTTCACTTCAATTCGAGATCTATTAAGGTTCGATCTAAAGACGACGGCCTCACTTTGTACTCCCATAGTGGTCACAGGAAAACAAGAACTCGCTGAAGACCCTGGGACTTATCCTCCCTGCCATTTGTCTTTTTTTTTTAGTGGAATTTAAACGAAATGGTTCCTGTGGAAAATTCCCAGAATTGGAATTAGAACGATTCCACGAAAACTCCTGCTGAAACACTCATTCATTCAGTCTTTCATTTCATTTTCCTACATGCTTCAAAAAGCTACGCTTATCTAATGAACCCAGTCATCAATTTATTTTATGATGGAGGAGACTCAATAAGGGTCTGGGAGAAGGCGAGCTGGTTGTCATGGTAAAAAAAAAAATATTATAAAGGACTAGGCGAAAAGCATAAAATTACCTCTGCACTGAAAAGATCTGTCTAGAACTCACTAATTCGTCGTCACCGGCCCAATCCACGGCGGAAGAAAAAAAAGTACCATATTCTAGGAATATGGGCATGGAAAAGCGCATGCGCCGCGATGAGCCTCGCACAAGGAAGACCCTCCGTGTGCGTCTCGGTCTGTGGCGGTCGAGAGAAGAGGAACGCTTCCGGACCAAGCCACGTGTCTCTGTCAGTCAAGTGCTGGGAGGCGGATGTGCGTGAGTCCCTCACTCATTCATTCTATCGCATCGCGATCGCGTCCGCTCGGTCGCTCGAGACGGGTCGCTGTGGATTGCGTGAATTTCATCCAGATCGAGCTGTCTCGATGGTGAAATCATTTCTTCGTAGAAGGTATCGTCGTAAATGCATAGCGGGTATGACCTGCTCAAGAACAAGATAACCTTCGGTAATTTGCCAAATAATTTAAACGAAACTCGATTTTTTAAGCAATTAACCGCTTTGATGCGCTTTCGAAAGGAATTACCTCGATGTCTGAATGGTAACGAGTCCGTGTTATGGGTTAACGATCGAAACGACATCGATCTCATCGTTCCAAGGAAGGAAAAAACCTAATCGAAAACGTTTTCAATTCGCTGGGAAGAATGAGGAAATGACAATCGATCGCCCAAGAAACGCAAAAATTGGCCGCAATATCCATGAAATTGCTTTTTTTTCTTCAATTTTTCAATTTAAGAAAGTGATGTCCATCGGAGGCTCGAGGGCATGTCGGATCGAGATGGACACTCCAGCAACATTATATATTCATAGCTTATATTCGCCTCATGGATGCGTCGGAGCCCAGTGACGCAAATGGCCTCATCTATATGTCTCTCTAGAACGAAGAGGACCCCCCCCCCCCCTCAAAAAAAAGGGGGAAAAAAAACATTAAGAGAGAAGCATATCCAGTAAATCTGTTTTGAGGGAAGTCCTTGGCAGAACTCGAAGGAGTCTGCCAAAAGACAGATCACCTGAGTGTCACACGGATGACTTCCACCAGAAAGAGGACTCCCTTCTATCAGCGACGTGGATCAATGTTTTATTATTTTCTTATGCATCACTGACCTCACCACTGACGGCACGAGCTTGAGTCACGGCGGCTTAATTCGGACCAGGAAAAAAAAGTTACTTCTGTGAGGATTTCGCTTCCCTCCCCCCCCCCCCCCCCCCCCCCACAAATG